ACAACTCCAAGGTAACCCCAAGGGGTCATGGCTTCACTCGCGATGTCATTTTCATACTGTCTCTCTGCTTCCCTCCTCACTCTGAGGTACTCATTCTTGGCCCTCTGGTATCTCTCCCTGCTCTCTGGTGTTCTGTTATTCCAGTAGTTTCTCCATGTTCTTTTACTCAGTTGCTTCGTTACCTTATATTCCTGGCTGAAACATGGATTCTTCTGTTGCTTTTCATTTTTCTCCTTTTGGACGGGGATAAACCTGTCTGCAGCTTCCTGGCACTTCTGGGTGACATAGTCCATCATATCCTGTACAGTCTTCTCTCGGAGTTCTGTTTCCCATGGTATTCCCTTTAGCAAGTTCCTCATCTCGTTATATTTTCCTCTTCGGTAATTTAGTCTTTTCCCTTGCGATCCCATCCTTGGATAGGTTATCCCTACCTCCACCAAGTACTCAAATGTCAATACACAGTGGTTACTCATTCCTATGGGGGCTTCAAATTTCACTTCCCTTACTTCTGACTCGTTCAAGGTGAATATCAGATAGTCTAGGTGGTTCGTCATTGCCTCTCATCCTTGTGGGTTCCACAAGGCCATGCTGGCTCAGAAAGCTCCTTGTTGTCACTTCCAAGAGTTTAGCTCGCCATGTATCTGCACCACCATGTGGGTCCCCATTAAGTTGTGTGTGTGTGTGTGTGTGTGTACTCACCTAGTTGTGCTTCTGGGGGTTGAGCTCTGGTCTTGCTGGAGTAGAGCTCTGGCTCTTTGGTCCCGGCTCTCAACTGTCAATCAACTTGTGTACAGGTTCCTGAGCCTACTGGGCTCTATCATATCTACACTTGAAACTGTGTATGGAGTCAGCCTCCACCACATCACTGTCTAATGCATTCCACCTGTTAACTACTCTGACACTGAAAAGTTCTTTCTGACATCTGTATGGTTCATTTGGGTACTGGGTCCCAATCTGTGTCCCCTTGTTCGCGTACCACCTGTGTTAAGCAGTTTATCCTTATCTACCCTGTCAATTCCTCTGAGAATTTTGTAGGTAGTGATCACGTCTCCCCTTACTCTTCTGTCTTACAGTGTCGTGAGGTGCATTTCCCGCAGCCTTTCCTCGTAACTCATACCTCTTAGTTCTGGGACTAGTCTTGGCATACCTCTGAACTTTTTCCAGCTTCGTTTTGTGCTTGACAAGGTACGGGCTCCATGCTGGGGCCGCATACTCCAGGATTGGTCTTACATATGTGGTATACAAGGTTCTGAATGATTCTTTACACAGGTTCCATAAGGCAGTTCTGATGTTTGCCAGCCTTGCATATGCCGCAGATGTTATTCTTTTTATGTGGACTTCAGGAGACAGGTTTGGTGTGATATCAACTCCTAGATCTTTCTCTCTGTTCGTTTCATGAAGTACTTTATCTCCTATTCTGTATCCTGTGTCTGGCCACCTGTTTCCACCGCCTAGTTTCATTACCTTGCATTTACTCGGGTTGAACTTTAGTAGCCATTTGTTGGACCTTCAGTAACCTTCAGTCTGTCTAGGTCATCTTGTAGCCTCCAACTATCATCCTCTGTTTTAATCCTCCTCATAATTTTTGCATCGTCAGCAAACAATGAGAGGAACGAGTCTATACCCTCTGGGAGATCATTCACATATATCTGGAACAGTATAGGTCCAAGGACTGACTGTACTAGCCGTGTTTTATGTACTGCCGGCACTATCTCTACTTCCAGTACTGCCAATATTAACTGTACTGTTGTACCCTCAGGCCGCAGGTGAAGGTCTGCGGCAGTGACCGCACCCTCCCTCAGGCCGCAGGTGAAGGTCTGCGGCGGTGACCGCACCCTCCCTCAGGCCGCAGGTGAGGGTCTGCGGCGGTGACCACACCCTCCCTCAGGCCGCAGGTGAGGGTCTGCGGCAGTGACCACACCCTCCCTCAGGCCGCAGGTGAAGGTCTGCGGCAGTGACCACACCCTCCCTCAGGCCGCAGGTGAAGGTCTGCGGCGGTGACCACACCCTCCCTCAGGCCGCAGGTGAAGGTCTGCGGCAGTGACCACACCCTCCCTCAGGCCGCAGGTGAAGGTCTGCGGCAGTGACCACACCCTCCCTCAGGCCGCAGGTGAAGGTCTGCGGCGGTGACCACACCCTCCCTCAGGCCGCAGGTGAAGGTCTGCGGCAGTGACCACACCCTCCCTCAGGCCGCAGGTGAAGGTCTGCGGCAGTGACCACACCCTCCCTCAGGCCGCAGGTGAAGGTCTGCGGCAGTGACCACACCCTCCCTCAGGCCGCAGGTGAAGGTCTGCGGCGGTGACCACACCCTCTCTCAGGCCGCAGGTGAAGGTCTGCGGCGGTGACCACACCCTCCCTCAGGCCGCAGGTGAAGGTCTGCGGCGGTGACCACACCCTCCCTCAGGCCGCAGGTGAAGGTCTGCGGCAGTGACCACACCCTCCCTCAGGCCGCAGGTGAAGGTCTGCGGCAGTGACCACACCCTCCCTCAGGCCGCAGGTGAAGGTCTGCGGCAGTGACCACACCCTCCCTCAGGCCGCAGGTGAAGGTCTGCGGCGGTGACCACACCCTCCCTCAGGCCGCAGGTGAAGGTCTGCGGCAGTGACCACACCCTCCCTCAGGCCGCAGGTGAAGGTCTGCGGCAGTGACCACACCCTCCCTCAGGGCGCAGGTGAAGGTCTGCGGCAGTGACCACACCCTCCCTCAGGCCGCAGGTGAAGGTCTGCGGCAGTGACCACACCCTCCCTCAGGGCGCAGGTGAAGGTCTGCGGCAGTGACCACACCTTCAGGGTGTGGTCACCTGTACACTTTTCTCAATCTTTGGCGGCTTTGTTTACAAATATTAAACAGGTAATGAGCTCGGAAGCACCAGGAGGCTGTTTATAACAACAACAACAGTTGATTGGGAAGTTTTCATGCTTTTAAACTGTTTAAAAATGTAATCAAAGCCCATTCAAAGATTGAGGAAAAAAGTACAGGTTCGTAAGTACTTGCGTAACTGCTTCGTGAATCTGGCCCCAGGTTCGTAAATGCTTGCGTGACTGCTTTGTGAATCTGGCCTCCAGGTGGATGACAGCTGCCTAAAGAACCGGTTGAGGTAAGACTGACATCTCCAAGCAGAAAGTGTGACACATTCCCCTGTGTGAGACACATGACAGTCTCCTTGTGAGCGAGGGGCCCGTCCACCTCCACCTCTCCCCTCACACTCCGTGATGAACGTCTCGCTTCCCCTCGTCCGTCGGAGCTCCGCCCCCCTGTCCCGCGTCCCGTCAGTGGCGCGGGCCAGTGAGGGGGTCAGTGTGCTGTCAGCGATGGGCTGAGGAAGACGTCCGCTCCTGCCCTCCCGACCCACGCGTGCATCCACCATCCACGCCGCCGCCGCCGCCGCCGCGCATTTCATTTGTTTAATTCTCCCGCGCGTCGCTGTAATTGCCCCTTATCCACCGACGGATTGCAGCGGATTGATGTGCATGATGAAATGACCCTTTTTTTTAGTTCTTTTAGTCACTCGTGATGTTAAGATATATTGAAAACCAGTTTTGGAAAAGTTTAGTTTTGGTGTGAGCGAGGTTGGTAAAGTGGTGGTGGCTGGGTGGTAATATCTGGCCTCCACACTCATCATTGTCATCAACATCACAACACAAAATGTTGTAACATTAATGATCTGAACAACGGCCGGGATACTGCAAGTCAAGACGTTGAAAAGGTAAGGACCCGCGTGCATGATTTTGACCGGTAGTCTCTCTCTCTCTCTCGTCTTCCACTTCTCGTAATGTTGCAACACATTGTATATGGCAACTTCTCGTAATGTTGCGATACGTTTATATGGCAACTTCTCGTAATGTTGCAACACGTTTATATGGCAACTTCTCGTCATGTTGCAACACGTATATATGGCAGCTTCTCGTAATGTTGCAACGCGTTGTATATGGCAGCTTCTCGTAATGTTGCAACGCGTTGTATATGGCAACTTCTCGTCATGTTGCAACGCGTTGTATATGGCAACTTCTCGTCATGTTGCAACGCGTTGTATATGGCAACTTCTCGTCATGTTGCAACACATTGTATATGGCAACTTCTCGTAATGTTGCAACACTATATGGCAACTTCTTGTAATGTTGCAAGACGTTGTATATGGCAACTACTCGTAATGTTGCGATACGTTTATATGGCAACTTCTCGTCATGTTGCGATACGTTTATATGGCAACTTCTCGTCATGTTGCGATACGTTTATATGGCAACTTCTCGTAATGTTGCAACGCGTTGTATATGGCAACTTCTCGTCATGTTGCAACACGTTGTATATGGCAACTTCTCGTCATGTTGCAACACGTTGTATATGGCAACTTCTCGTCATGTTGCAACACGTTGTATATGGCAACTTCTCGTCATGTTGCAACACGTTGTATATGGCAACTTCTCGTCATGTTGCAACACGTTGTATATGGCAACTTCTCGTCATGTTGCAACACGTTGTATATGGCAACTTCTCGTCATGTTGCAACACGTTGTATATGGCAACTTCTCGTCATGTTGCAACACGTTGTATATGGCAACTTCTCGTCATGTTGCAAAACGTTTATATGGCAACTTCTCGTCATGTTGCGATACGTTTATATGGCAACTTCTCGTAATGTTGCAACGCGTTGTATATGGCAACTTCTCGTCATGTTGCAACACGTTGTATATGGCAACTTGGTGTTGATGAGCAACATGTGAGGGTCAACAGGTCTGCACTCTAAATGGAACTCTCAAGACGCTATAAAAGGACAAAATAGCAACTTGAAGTAAATAATTAAGATGGTGAGGACGGGAGAGTGTGGACCGTGGCGCCCCAGCCACGACCTGAACACTTCTTGACGACCCCGACCTCTGACACGACCTGACGACCAATAGCACTAAGACGACTCCCTTCACGACCTGGCGGCCGTAAGGAGCCTGGACCACGCGACCTAGTCTCGGGCGACCATGACACGACTATAACATGTACGACTATAATAATGAGCCATTACCACGAGGAAAGCCAAAGACAAACTCACGACCACGAGAATGATTTCCACGACCACAAGGCCAACCCCGCCACGACCACAAGGCCAACCCCGCCACGACCACAAGGCCAACCCCGCCACGACCACAAGGCCAACCACACCACGACCACAAGGCCAACCCCGCCACGACCACCAGGCCAACCCCGCCACGACCACCAGGCCAACCCCGCCACGACCACAAGGCCAACCCCGCCACGACCACAAGGCCAACCCCGCCACGACCACAAGGCCAACCACACCACGACCACAAGGCCAACCCCGCCACGACCACCAGGCCAACCCCGCCACGACCACAAGGCCAACCACACCACGACCACAAGGCCAACCCCGCCACGACCACCAGGCCAACCCCGCCACGACCACAAGGCCAACCACACCACGACCACAAGGCCAACCACACCACGACCACGAGGCCAACCCCGCCACGACCACGAGGCCAACCCCACCACGACCATAAGGCCAACCACGCCACGACGACGAGACCAACCCCGCCACGACGACGAGACCAACCCCGCCACGACCACGAGGCCAACCCCGCCACGACGACGAGACCAACCCCGCCACGACGACGAGACCAACCCCGCCACGACGACGAGACCAACCCCGCCACGACGACGAGACCAACCCCGCCACGGCGACGAGACCAACCCCGCCACGACGACGAGACCAACCCCGCCACGACGACGAGACCAACCCCGCCACGACGACGAGACCAACCCCGCCACGATGACGAGACCAACCCCGCCACGACGACGAGACCAACCCCGCCACGACGACGAGACCAACCCCGCCACGACCACAAGACCAACCCCGCCACGACGACAAGGCCAACCACGCCACGACGACAAGACCAACCACGCCACGACGACAAGACCAACCACGCCACGACCACAAGACCAACTCCGCCACGACCACAAGACCAACCACGCCACGACCACAAGACCAACCACGCCACAACGACAAGACCAACCACGCCACGACCACAAGACCAACCCCGCCACGACCACAAGACCAACCACGCCACGACCACAAGACCAACCCCGCCACGACCACAAGACCAACCCCGCCACGACCACAAGACCAACCACGCCACGACCACAAGACCAACCACGCCACGACGACAAGACCAACCACGCCAACAATTATGAGAAAGACCGCCAATAATTATTCCTGACGACAAAGACGACCTACCATCCCATGCTCATCCCGACGACCACAAGGAACACTAACCAGCACAACACCACGACCACAGAGACGACCTGTCACTATTCCATGCACACAAGGGCGGCGGGTCACACCACAACGACCACAGGTGAAGGAACAGGTAATGACACTGAGGACAGGGACAGACAGATTCACTACAAACGACAAGGAAGTGTACGAGGAACTGAATAAGAAATTCCAGGAGGTCTTCACATTAGAGCAAGGAGAAGTTCCAGAGATAAGAGAGGAAATAGATAACCTGGTACCACTAGAGGAATTTGTGGGGATGTGAGGAAGCATCTGCTAGATTTGGACGTGAGAAAGGCTATAGGCCCAGAAGGAATCTCACCATGGATACTAAAGGAAGGAGCAGAAGCTCTGTGCCTGCGACTCTCCATGGTGTATAACAAGTCACTGGTAACAGGGGAATTGCCAAAAATTCGGAAGACGGCCAATGTAGTCCCGATATACATGAAGAGTGATTTATTATTATTATTATTATTATTTTTCTACCACAGACGTGGCCGGACATTTACAGTGCTAACCAGCATATAAACATTTTCTTCTGTCCTCCATGGACAGGGTGAGAGATGTGTTAAACATATAGTTCAGGGATTTATTGAACAATCAACCACAGAAGGTGATTGTAGTGCGTTTAATATGCTAATCTAACCTACAGACATAAATACTCAGATACACAGAGTTACGTCTGCCCTACATAAAGTGGTCGATGTGTCTTTTACATTAATATTAGCGAGCATTTACAGAGGCGAAATTTGATTCTGATTAGCTTCCTCATATACTTCACACACACACACACACACACACACACACACACACACAATATTATATATATATATGTATGTATGTATATATATGTCGTACCTAGTAGCCAGAACGCACTTCTCAGCCTACTATGCAAGGCCCGATTTGCCTAATAAGCCAAGTTTTCCTGAATTAATATATTTTCCCAATTTTTTTTCTTATGAAATGATAAAGCTACCCATTTCATTATGTATGAGGTCAATTTTGTGTTATTGTAGTTAAAATTAACGTAGATATATGACCGAACCTAACCAACCCTACCTAACCTAACCTAACCTATCCTATCTTTATAGGTTAGGTTGGGTTATGTAGCCGAAAAAGGTAGGTTAGGTTAGGTAGGTAGGTTAGGTAATCGAAAAAACATTAATTCATAAAAACTTGGCTTATTAGGCAAATCGGGCCTTGCATAGTAGGCTGAGAAGTGCGTTCTGGCTACTAGGTACGACATATATATATATAATATATATATATATATATATATATATATATATATATATATATATATATATATATTGGTAGCAGTCTTTCTTGTAAACATATGTTGTTAAATATGACCAAAAAAGTAAGATTAATAATTCTAACACGAATTTTCTCAATATTTCTTATGTTTCTTTTTAAACATAGTAATGTTTAATGTGTTTAGAGATAGTAAAAAGAAACATAAGAAATAGAAAAAATTCGTGTTAGAATTATTAATCTTACTTTTTCGGTCATATTTAACAACATATATACATACATACACATATACGCACACATACATATATACACTTACATTTATGGCTCTCCTACTCTGAGAGGGTAAGATAGCTGAGGAAACTAGTGAGTCATTAAGCACTTAACCACTGAAGGTGTTTAAGGTGCTTTCACAAGCTCAGGTTATATAGTTACATCACATACATACAATGTATAAATGATACATTACATGGTCAATCTTGGGTACAAGTTCAATATATCATCAAGTGTTCCAGTACTCATATAGTAATTACACAGTTCAGCATACCTTAGCCCAGGAGGGCGAAGGGGGATAGACAGGAGGCACTGAACTACAGGCCAGTGTCCCTAACTTGCATACCTTGCAAGTTGATGGTGAAGATTGTGCGAAAAAACCTAGTGGAACATCTGGAGCGAAGGAACCTTGTAACACAACATCAACATGGGTTCTGGGATGGCAAATCCTGCCTCACAGAGCTAATTGAATTCTACGATCAGGCAACAAAAATCAGACAAGAGAGGGCTGGGCAGACTGCATATTTCTGGACTACCAAAAAGCTTTTGATACAGTACCACACCAGAGACTAGTACACAAACTGGATATGCTGGCAGGAGAGAAAGGGAAGGTACCACCCCTTTCCTTTAAGGTACCTTTAAGGTACCTTAAGGTACTCCATTGGATAAGGGCGTACCTATACAACAGGTTACAACGAGTCGCTGTGAGGGGTGAGGTATCGTAGTGGTGGAGAGGCACCAGTGGAGTCCCGCAGGGGTCAGTCCTTGGACCTATACTGTTCCTGATATATGTAAATGATCTCCCAGAGGGTATAGACTCGGTCCTCTCAATGTTTACTGACGATACAAAAATTATGAGGAGGATTAAGACAGAGGATGATAGTATGAGGCTACAAGATGACCTAGACAAACTGAAGGAATGGTCCAACAAATGGTTACTAAAGTTCAACCTCAGTAAATGTAAGGTAATGCAACTAGGAGGAACTAGGAGGCCAGTCACTGGATACCGAATGGAAGATGAAGTCCTTCATGAAACGAACAGAGAGAAAGATCTAGGAGTTGATATCACACCAAACCTGTCTCCTGAAGCCCACATAAAAAGAATAACGCCTGTGGCATATGCGAGGCTGGCTAACATCAGAACGGCCTTCAGGAACCTGTATGAGGAATCATTCAGAATCTTGTACACCACATATGTTAGACCAATCCTGGAGTATGCGGCCCCAGCATGGAGCCCGTACCTTGTCAAGCACATGACGAAGCTTGAAAAAGTTCAGAGGTATGCCACTAGACTAGTCCCAGAACTAAGAGGCATGAGTTACGAGGAAAGGCTGCGTGAGATGCACCTCACGACACTAGAAGACAGAAGAGCTCGGGGAGACATGATCACTATATACCAAATTCCCAAGGGAATTAACAGGGTAGACAAGGATAAACTATTCAACACTGGCGGAAAGCGAACAAGAGGAAACAGGTGGAGACTGAGTACCCACATGAGCCACAGAGACGTTAGAAAGAACTTTTTCAGTGTCAGAGTAGTTAACAGGTGGAATGCATTAGGAAGTGATGTGGTGGAGGCTGACTCCATACACAGTTTACAATGTAAATATGATAGAGCCCAGTAGGCTCAGGAACCTGTACACCAGTTGATTGACAGTTGAGAGGCGGGACCAAAGAGCCAGAGCTCAACCCCCCACAAGCACAACTAGGTGAGTACAAGGGCAGCTGATCACAACACAAGGCTGCAAGAAGCCTCCGCAAACCATGTGTGTCATGTGACACATGGCCTCAGGCAGCGACACATGGCCTCAGGCAGCGACACATAAGTGACACATGGCCTCAGGCAGCGATACATAAGTGACACATGGCCTCAGGCAGCGATACATAAGTGACACATGGCCTCAGGCAGCGATACATAAGTGACACATGGCCTCAGGCAGCGATACATAAGTGACACATGGCCTCAGGCAGCGATACATAAGTGACACATGGCCTCAGGCAGCGATACATAAGTGACACATGGCCTCAGGCAGCGATACATAAGTGACACATGGCCCCAGGCAGCGATACATAAGTGACACATGGCCTCAGGCAGCGATACATAAGTGACACATGGCCTCAGGCAGCGATACATAAGTGACACATGGCCTCAGGCAGCGATACATAAGTGACACATGGCCTCAGGCAGCGATACATAAGTGACACATGGCCTCAGGCAGCGATACATAAGTGACACATGGCCTCAGGCAGCGATACATAAGTGACACATGGCCTCAGGCAGCGATACATAAGTGACACATGGCCTCAGGCAGCGATACATAAGTGACACATGGCCCCAGGCAGCGATACATAAGTGACACATGGCCTCAGGCAGCGATACATAAGTGACACATGGCCTCAGGCAGCGATACATAAGTGACACATGGCCCCAGGCAGCGATACATAAGTGACACATGGCCTCAGGCAGCGATACATAAGTGACACATGGCCTCAGGCAGCGATACATAAGTGACACATGGCCTCAGGCAGCGATACATAAGTGACACATGGCCTCAGGCAGCGATACATAAGTGACACATGGCCTCAGGCAGCGATACATAAGTGACACATGGCCCCAGGCAGCGATACATAAGTGACACATGGCCTCAGGCAGCGATACATAAGTGACACATGGCCCCAGGCAGCGATACATAAGTGACACATGGCCTCAGGCAGCGATACATAAGTGACACATGGCCTCAGGCAGTGATACATAAGTGACACATGGCCTCAGGCAGTGATACATAAGTGACACATGGCCTCAGGCAGCGATACATAAGTGACACATGGCCTCAGGCAGCGATACATAAGTGACACATGGCCCCAGGCAGCGATACATAAGTGACACATGGCCTCAGGCAGCAACACATAAACGACACATGGCCCCAGGGAGCGACAAATTAGTGACACATGGCCTCAGGGAGCGACACATAAGTCACACATGGCCCCAGGGAGCGACACATAAGTGACAAATGGCCCCAGGCAGCGACACATAAGTGACACATGGCCCCAGGGAGCGACACATAAGTGACACATGGCCCCAGGGAGCGACACATAAGTGACACATGGCCCCTGGGAGCGACACACAAGTGACACATGGCCCCCGGGAGTGACACACAAGTGACACATCGCCCCAGGGAGCGACACATGGCCCCAGGGAGCGACACATAAGTGACACATGGCCCCAGGGAGCGACACATGGCCCCAGGGAGCGACACATAAGTGACACATGGCCTCAGGCAGCGACACACAAGTGACACATGGCCTCAGGGAGCGACACATGGCCTCAGGGAGCGACACATGGCCCCAGGGAGCGACACATGGCCCCAGGGAGCGACACACAAGTGACACATGGCCTCAGGGAGCGACAC